CGCCCGCGCTTCACTTGCCGGCCTTCTGCGCCTTCTGCGCCGACTTGGTGACCTTGCCGGCGCCGCCGCTCTTCTTCTCCACATTCTTGATGACGCCCACCGCCACGGTCTGCCGCATGTCGCGAACAGCGAAGCGGCCTGCGGAGGGCAGGCGACTGCGTGTCAGCACTCAGGACCCGCCCGGGCCATGGGAGCAGAGTTAACTATTGGAAACGTCCCAGGATTCGCTTGGCACTTAACCATCACGACAAGGGTGGCCTCAGCCTGCAATCTGCTTAAGGCAGCCTTCCGACACAGGTCTGTGGGTTGCCACTTGGGGAGGGTCAGCTGATTCTGTTGGGCAGTCAGTCCTTGTTCTGATTCTGCCACTAGACTAGCCGTGGGCCTGGTGCAAGTTGCTTAAGGGGACCTCATCTGTAGAGGGGGTCACCATCCCAGGTGTGCCCAGCAAAGCCACCTGCGCTCAGCACAAAAGTTTGCCACAGTAAGGGCCCCCCACACCCGCTCCCCAGAGGTCCTCTGCCCTCAACCTGGGTCAGCCGGGATCAGCCGCCACCTCCAGGGCTGCTCACCGAGGGGCGGGTACTGGGAGAAGCTCTCCACACACATGGGCTTTCCGGGGACCATCTCCACGATGGCCGCATCACCGGACTTCAGGGACTTGGGGTTGTCCTCCAGCTTCTTGCCAGAACGCCGGTCAATCTTTTCCTTCAGCTCAGCAAACTTGCAGGCGATGTGGGCAGTGTGGCAGTCGATAACCGGTGAATATCCAGCACTGATCTGCCCAGGGTGATTCAGGATGATGACCTGAGGGCAGAGTCGCAGGAGCCATCAGGCACGCCTGGGGCCTGGCGCACCCAAGGGGGCCACTGGGAAGCCACCAAAGCTGAACCAGGAGGCTCCAGACATGGGACCACCTCCCAGATCCTCAGGGCACAGAGTTCTGACGGTGGAAGAAGCTCAGGGTATGGAGGACCCACCCCCCAGACCCGGACCCCAATGTCCTCACAAGCATTTGGCACACCCCGGGGAAATAAATGACTGACAAGGGCCAGGGGCAGCACTTACACTGTCGACCCTGGCCAGAACTAAGGGGGTACAAAACTGGACTTGGGTTACTGTATTTCAGTGACATCTCCATAACGCTGTTCTTCAAAATCATTGTCTTAGGAAGAGGTGATGAAAGAGGGTGCAATGAGAAGCGTAAAGGCACGGCAGAGACGTCTCCGGCAGTAAGCAATAAGTGTCTTTCAAGACAGAAGCGGGACCTCAAAGGCTAGACGTGCCAGCTGTTGTGGTCAACAGACACAGGACTGCCCAGAAGCTGGGTGGACAAGACCCGGCACCTCCCAGCCTCTGCCCCTGCTGTGTGGGACCCTGAACACGCCACCCCTCGATCCCCTGGTGGCCTCTGAAGTGAACCAAGTGAACCAAGACTACCCAGCAGCACCTCACCAGGGACAGCCCTGTTGCTGCTCCGGCCAAGAGTGGCCCCCGCACACCAGCACAGCCACCGACCTGGGAGGTAAACTGGGCAGCCTCCTGGGGCGGGTCGGACTTGCTGTCCCCACACACGTTGCCACGGCGGATGTCTTTGACTGACACATTCTTCACATTGAAGCCCACGTTGTCACCGGGCAGGGCCTCGCTCAGTGCCTCATGGTGCATCTCCACTGACTTCACCTCAGTGGTGATGTTCACTGGCGCAAAGGTCACCACCATGCCTGGCCGAAGGATGCCCGTCTCCACGCGGCCCACCGGCACCGTGCCAATGCCTGGGCCAAGAGGAGGGGGCTGTGAGGGGTAGAGAGGATACCAGGGGACAGAACGTTCGGGGAAAGAACCTGGTAACCCACAGAACTCAGGACTCAGTCCTCCCTGGCTGGGCCGGGGGAGATGTGGTCACGCGGCAGGAGTGAGGGGAAAAGGGAGCCCCCCCCACCGTGTACAAGGCCAACACTGGGATTCCAGCAGAAGTGGAGGTGCCCCTGAGCCAATCAAATGAGGGACCAAACAAGGGAGTGTTCCCAGGAACTCAAGGGAAAGCGACAGGGGCAGTGAGCAGAGAGGGACTGTCAGGCCTGGGATCTCATCTTTGCCCCTGGGGGGCTTCTCTTGGAGGGAGCACTGTGGGGAACCCTTCTCTCTCTGGAAACCCCTCCTTGTGGCCCTGAGGCACAGCATCAGAGTGTGGGCCAGGTCACTAGGATTGCTGGGGCCATGGGGCCGGTGGCTCTGCCCACAGAGGACTCCCTGGGCCCCGCTTCTCCAGGATCTGCTGGCACCCATCTCTGCAGCTGCTGAAGGGTCTCGTCTCCCCCAGGGTGTGGGGACATCTCCACCTTGTCTCCCTGAGCTGTGATGGAGGCTTGTGTGGCATCTCAGTATGATGGGACTGAGGCTGGTGGCTGTTTTCTGTGCACACAGAGATGTCCCCGACGTCTCTGACCACAGCCCCCAGTTGGGAGCCCCCATCAGTACCCTTCCCTCTCTGGGGTCTCATATTTGTGTGTGTTTCTATAACATCTCATGGGCAGCATTTCTCATTTCTGGGGTGGGACCATGTCTCCCACAGGACTGGGACCTCAACAGGGTGACAGGAGTCACCTCTATGCCCCCACCTTTTGCCACCAGCTCTTGCACAGGGCTGGGCACCTACCTGGAGAGAGAGAGAGACCCTGGCAGATGCTGGGCAGATGGATGGATGGATGGAGAGCAGACAGATGTATAGTGGATAGTCCCCCAGACAGCGTGTGGCATGAGAGGAGGTGGCGATGACCTGACCTGGGGCCTTTGTGGGGGCCCTGATCTCAGGGGAGGGCCTGGGATGGGGTAGCGGTTGTGGCGTGGGCCTCACTCACCGCCAATCTTGTACACGTCCTGCAGTGGCAGGCGCAGAGGCTTGTCTGTAGGGCGTGTGGGGGGCAGGATGGTGTCCAGGGCCTCGAGCAGGGACACGCCGCTTGCGTTCCCCTCCTTACGCTCCACCTTCCAGCCCTTGAACCATGGCATCTGGGCGGGAGGGAGAAGCCGACCCATCTTAGAGACCACCTGCCACCTCCCCACCTCTCGTGGCCGCTGACCTCGGGTCACAGGCACAACCCCACACCCTCTATGGGTAACGCTGGACTGTTTGGGCTAAATTCCCTTCTTGTCCTTGGAGACATAAACAACTTGCGCACCACCCCTCCCAATCAGTTCACATCCCCAATGTCACAGAGGTGTTGGGAAAGAGATTCTTCTTAGGAAGGTGAGTGGCAAAGAGAAACGAAGCCCCCACCTCAGCCCAGACTCTGCTCAGATGTTTTTTTTTTTTTTATAAAAAGATGACCGGTAAGGGGATCTTAACCCTTGACTTGGTGTCGTCAGCACCACGCTCAGCCAGTGAGCGAACCGGCCATCCCTATATGGGATCCGAACCCATGGCCTTGGTGTTATCAGCACCGCACTCTCCCGAGTGAGCCACGGGCCGGACCTCAGATGTTCTTAACACTTGGGAATAAGTCCCAGCCCTGCCCAACTCCGTGCAGCCCCCCAGGGCCCCTAGCCACCAGATCCCTGGGAGAGCAAGCAACCAGAGCAGGAGGAGCCAGAGTCCGTCCTCGGCCCCATCCCAGAAGTTTGCGGGACCACCGTGCCTGCTGTCTCCAAGGTCAGCCGACCCATCACCACCAGGGCTTCTCCTGACCACAGCCTGTGGCCCTCCTCACACAGAGCCTCGCTCTGGCCCAGCCACCACAGACAGGGAGAAGGGGAAGGGACCAGCAGCCCCGTGCCCAGGACCACCCCAGTAACCCTGTGTCCTCCTGCCTTTGTCTTCACGGCCAAATCCCAGACAGCCCCGGTCAGCAGAAGTCTCCTGATCCAGCAGGCCAGGCCGCTAGGAAGTGCAGGGGAGGGGAGCATCCCTAGGGGTGGGGGGTGCTGGGAGCACCCCCTGCACCCCCAGACCCCACTCAAGACCACAGGCCTGCTGGTCTAAGTCTCCCCTGGCTGCCCCCCTCAGTGGGGGCAGCGG